TTACATATTTGATATATTATACTTCTTCACACATGATGACAAAATCTTTGTAAGAAACAGACAAATGACCATGTGCTGCCCAACTTCATAATTTTTACCTGAATTTGTTTTATGATATCTGGTAAAGATGGTGCTACACTTCTTTCAACAACAGATCATCTGCACTAAGTATGTTGACATTTTTATCATGTGGCAAAGTAAATCTGATGTACTATGATTTCTACAGTTGATCAGTAACAACCCTTTGGTCTACAGCTGCAAGTGGAACAGGAAAGTCAAACAGAAATTCATTCCCTGGACATTATCATCATCTTGGAATAATGATGTATTAATTTCCATGATGCAAACACTTACCAGTGTCCGGAAATCAATATACAAGCTGAAATATGATGGTTGGCACATCTAATAGTTATAGTTTTGTTTTGTATGGTTTATCTATTTTATATAATTTCATTATTTTGTTTTCTTTTATTTTTATTGCAACTCAATATGAATATTAAGTGATTGACTTCATGCCTGTATACTTTAAATAACACAAAGTTAAGTTTTGTAACTGCATTCTAGTTTTTTCCATTTTATAGCAACTGACACAGATCTATCAACCTAGATTGAAATATTTTGTTTGTTTATTAAAATTTTTTACTGGATGTAAATAAGTTGGTTTTCTTTGTGATATAAAATAATCATTAAGTATATCAAACACAGCAAAGTCCAATATGTATATAGAAACATAACCAAACGATCATTAAATTAGTGGAGTTATAGCCTGATTACTTAAGGTGATTGTTTGGTTATGTTTCTATAAAATAATCATTTTTTTCTTAAATTAATTTCTTTATACCTATATAATATGGCTAACTCCAGTATTATATTAATAGTATTAATTGCATAATATATTGTAATTCCAAATATTTAAAAAATCAAATTCCACAAATAATTTAAAATTATTCTATTTTATTTTAAAATAACTTTCCAAAAAATTCTNCTTGTTTTGGTGAGCATAGGGATTTCTTACTAAGAATGTTACTTCGTCCCATAGGCATCCTTCCCACATACTGAAGCTTACATATTTGATATATTATACTTCTTCACACATGATGACAAAATCTTTGTAAGAAACAGACAAATGACCATGTGCTGCCCAACTTCATAATTTTTACCTGAATTTGTTTTATGATATCTGGTAAAGATGGTGCTACACTTCTTTCAACAACAGATCATCTGCACTAAGTATGTTGACATTTTTATCATGTGGCAAAGTAAATCTGATGTACTATGATTTCTACAGTTGATCAGTAACAACCCTTTGGTCTACAGCTGCAAGTGGAACAGGAAAGTCAAACAGAAATTCATTCCCTGGACATTATCATCATCTTGGAATAATGATGTATTAATTTCCATGATGCAAACACTTACCAGTGTCCGGAAATCAATATACAAGCTGAAATATGATGGTTGGCACATCTAATAGTTATAGTTTTGTTTTGTATGGTTTATCTATTTTATATAATTTCATTATTTTGTTTTCTTTTATTTTTATTGCAACTCAATATGAATATTAAGTGATTGACTTCATGCCTGTATACTTTAAATAACACAAAGTTAAGTTTTGTAACTGCATTCTAGTTTTTTCCATTTTATAGCAACTGACACAGATCTATCAACCTAGATTGAAATATTTTGTTTGTTTATTAAAATTTTTTACTGGATGTAAATAAGTTGGTTTTCTTTGTGATATAAAATAATCATTAAGTATATCAAACACAGCAAAGTCCAATATGTATATAGAAACATAACCAAACGATCATTAAATTAGTGGAGTTATAGCCTGATTACTTAAGGTGATTGTTTGGTTATGTTTCTATAAAATAATCATTTTTTTCTTAAATTAATTTCTTTATACCTATATAATATGGCTAACTCCAGTATTATATTAATAGTATTAATTGCATAATATATTGTAATTCCAAATATTTAAAAAATCAAATTCCACAAATAATTTAAAATTATTCTATTTTATTTTAAAATAACTTTCCAAAAAATTCTATATATGCAATATGTAGTTATTTGATCTCTAACAAATAAAAATTAAATTTTAATTTCACTCGTGTATTATTCACATTTATTTTTTTTAATGATGATGATTTAAATGATTAAATTTAGAGATAATCAAAATCTATCAAAATAAATCTAACTTATTTAATAAATGGATTTGTTTTTATTTAAGTTGCTAAAATTGTTCAATATAAATTATGCAAACTATTTTGTTACTCCATTTATTTTCTGTAGATAAATAATTTAAAATTTGTTTTATATAGTAATAAAATTAATACCATTTTCCTAACTATTTTCAATTTTACATTATTATAAATGTCTGGCTCAAAATTTTTGATAAATTTATTCTATCAAGCTGATTTAAATGAACTGACTTAATGATTTAAGTAAGATCTGAAAATTTCAATATCTTTTAACTGTAACCTGCAAATTCATTTATAAAAATCAATAACAAATTTGACTTTCAATGGTTAGTAAAGTATTAAATATCAATTTTTCTTTTCAACAAAAAAAATACAGATTCTGTTGAAATTACATAATACAGAAAGGATTTCAGAAGATTAAAAACTTTAAAATTTAAATCTCAGTTAAATATTGATCCTAGTATATTTATATCAAAATATACAAAGATTTCAACATTTAAATTTTACTATCCAAATTCAAAATTATTTAAATATACAAAATAAAATTAAAAACCTAAATAAAAAATATTATTTTAAATAATAAAAGAATTCTGATGATTTAACATAAATAATCAACTTAATGAAATATATTGTATTATTTAAAATTAAATCATATCAATTTTATATTTTAAATGAATCACTGACATATGTTAAAACAACAATAAATCAATTAAATGTTAAAAAAGTAAAAGTTTTATACTTTGTATATAAAATATTATATTAAATAAGATAATCACATATAGAAAGTCCTTATTTTATCAGACAAAAATTTCTATCGTAAAGGAAATATTTAGAATCTACTTTTTTTGATTTGCAAGTAAAGCATGCTGAAAGACTTGATTGATAAGCAATGGGTATGAATATACATTATAATATTTTATTCATAATTGTACACAATAACAAATTTTGACACATCTTTTCCCAAATTAGTCGGTTAAATTAAGGGTCTACCATATTTTTATTAATTCTTAATGAATAAATGCTGTGAAACCAAATGGATTTTTCAACAAATAATTTTTTTATATCTGATATGTATTTCATACTAAGATCTAATATATAATCTATTTACATGATTAATTTATAAATATTACATAACAATCCACATTAACNATGAATAAATGCTGTGAAACCAAATGGATTTTTCAACAAATAATTTTTTTATATCTGATATGTATTTCATACTAAGATCTAATATATAATCTATTTACATGATTAATTTATAAATATTACATAAAAGGCTATTAAAATCCACATTAACTTTCATCAAAACATACCAAATGTTCACATCATGACATTAAACCAATTTTAAAATCATTGTCACTCAGATACTTTAATTTTATATAAATTATATAATTAAAATATGAGACTTTGGATGTAACAGACAAAAATTTCTATGCTAAGGGAAATACTTAAAATCTACTTCTTTAGTTTGCGAGTAAAGCATGCTAAAAGACTCAGATAAGTCAACAGATAAGAATTACTCAATGTACATAACATCATCATTTTATTCACAGTTATACATTATAATGTTTTAATACATACTATACGTTGTAATTTTCTTATTAATATAGGCCTGTGTTTTTAAAATGCAGCAATACCTCAGTTTTTGTCGATAATCTGTCAAAAAACAATTGGCGAAATCCAAAACTGAAGAAAACCGAGACAATTATTTTCATATGAATCAACGTAAATCCAATTAATTCATTCTAGACACTCCAAAATACATACCAAAAACACATTTTATATAGTATAAATATAGTGTTTAATACTAAAAACAATAAGAAATTAATATAAAATGAATATAAAAGACTACTGTAAAGAATAAATTAACATTTAACATGGCATTTATCATGAATAATGCTCACACAAGAAACAACGCCACACCGAGCAGGAAAAAGTGCGAGTCGCCCTTTGTTTTCACAAAATTACCGCGCTGCTAATTTTGAGGACGACGACGAAATCCAAAACCGAAGTCAACAAAAACTGAGATATCACTGTATATTCAATTTATTGAACTTTTAGCAATAGCAGACTAATTTAGAGACACTCCCTTCCCCAAATTAGTCTGTTAAATTGAAGGCCTACAGTATTTTTAATAATGAACATTGTAAAACAAAAGAAAAATGGTTCAATATACAATTTTTCCTTTTAAATCTGATATATAATTCATACTAAATTTATATTAAAATATAGTATGAATTGTATATCAGATTTAATAGATAAATTTATAAATATTACATAACAATCCACATTAACTTCCATCAAAACATACCAAATGTTTACATCACGAATGACATTAATTGTCATCGAGATACTTTAACTTTATATTAATTATACAATTAAAACAGTGTATAAATTAATAAATGCGATTGAAATTTTCAACAATCGCATGAAATGAGACATGTTTTCTTTCATGAAACTAACACGATGTGTTTATTAACAGTTAACAGTGAAATTGACAAATAAAAAACATCACGTGTAAGTATAAAACGATTTATTTATTTAATTGTTACGTAATAGTAAAGTATAAAAGCTTAATAAATATATTTCCACCGATTTTCAGCGTAAAAGATGACAAAATGTCTACTCGTATTATACTTACATTATGACGTCAGTTAAAAATTTCCTAACAAACAGCTGATTATAAGTGATTTGTTAAAGTTATTTGTGTAAATAAACGATATTATTATTATTTAAAAGTAAAATTCGAACGATTGGACAAGTTTTTTATTGTTAATTTTCTTTCATTTGCGAAATCCTTACCTTTTTTTCGGCGCCACAACTAAGCCTAACTAGTATATAGGTTTGCGGGTCAAACAGACATTAATTATTTGGACAGCACTTTTACTTACACATCTAATTTATTATATATTAGATTTATTGCTTCTAAAATTTCCATTTTTATCAATATACGTCCATATTTACTAATATTGAATAGGGTTGCATTTTTGTCTAGTTTCATGTTCCAACTTCCGGTTTTGATTGGTCAGATGTAAATGTCATCTGGTGGCAAAAATCGAAAATAAAAGAAAAAAAAGTCGAACTTTCTAGGTCACTTTTTTGAATTTTTTCTTCTTCTTTAATAAATTCCAATTCGTAAGAATAAGTTTTAAAATTAGATTAGGTTTAGATACATGCTTTACTTAAAGAATTGGTTAAATTAAAGATATTTCATTATTATTTATTATATAACGCGTATAGTTTTATAAACGTTTATTATATAAAAATATTCAGTACAAATTATACGTAAATTATATTTTCTGTTAGTTTTCTTCTCTAAGGAAAATAAACTAAAATAATACAGGAAAAAAATTGAACGGTCAAATCGGTTCTTCCGACAGAAATGCGCTACATAGATGCTTGCTTGATTAGCGTCTTTAATATAGCTGTATAAGCGAGCCAATGATGTGGCCCGTTTCATTTGAGAAGGATTTTGTCATTGGCTTGCTTATCCAGATGTATTAAAGCCGCTTTACCAAACCACGCGTCCAGTCGCTACTGTGGCTGAAAGGCAATAAGAACATCCAATCAGAAAACTCATTTCTTAAGGACATTTTGTAATTTTACATCATTTTTATATTTTTCTATACGTAATCGCATTAAACTGAAGGAAAAGTGGTATAGAATATCGTTCAGAATTCATGTATCAATATTTCTAGTACAGTACATATGTCCCAGTAAAATGTTCTACTGGTGTATTACAACTTAAAACTTACAATCCATAATACTGAAGTTTTAGATTTTATTTAAAATACTCATAAAGTCTATCATAAGACCAGTTTACCAATTTATACATTGACAACATTATGTAATTAGTATATTGTTAAAATAAAATGTACCGTAACATTACTTTCTAACTCAAAGTTAGCTATACCTCTCATTACAACAGATAAATGGTTTTTACGGTTTGCTTTCTCATCATTTATACTGTATAATTAATGAATAGTATTCATTTCATATACATGCTGGATCCGTCCCTCATTACCCTGTGACTCCGTTGTGGTTCTGACTGAACCCATGACGAATCTGATACTTAGTGTCCACAGGATGGAAAAAGAGAAAGGTAAAAAGGAAAAAAGTGACTGTACGCGTGTACGTTGGAGAACCGGGATTGATCTGGAAGGGTCGAAACCCCCCAGGAATTTATGTCGAACCCGTTTCTCACGACACTTAGTCGCTCAATTGCAGGCTGGCCGAACCCATAATGGGCTTTTTAAAAAGGCCCTCTTAGTACCCACACAGTGGAAAGAGTTTTAAAAAATACACATATAATGTCTTTTTGATGATTTACATGATGTTTACATAAATCCTGACTACTAGTGGTATAGTCACAATTAATTCAATTGATTTTATGTATGTTTTCTTTGTCGCATTAAACTAATTTCTAAAATATACAGCAACGAGTTGCATAACTTTCCCGGCTTCACCAGGGAAGCTTGCAACATGCTCTTTTGTTGAACTCTATTCGCCATAAGTTATGTTGCTTCAGGCTTTGCCCCTTTATTGTATAAAAATTTCCTAGGACACAATTTAAATCTTCCAGATGCATATTTTTATTTAGTTTTTATTATTAGTTATTTTGATTAGTAATTATTTAAAGTAAAATTATGTTTTAATACAGTCTCATAATAGAGTTTTTAAATTGTATTAAAAAATAAATTATGTATTATTAATTATTATAAAAAACCAGCAATGAATTGCTTAACCTACCCAGCTATTATAAAATTTTAATTAAAAAATAACCTTTATATTATTAATCATAATAAATAAATAAAATTGTTCGTGGCGCCACCTGTTATGATATTTTGTTATAAAAACTTTTTATATTTTTAGTTATTATAAAATGCAAAAACGCTTAATTTTGAGCGTAGAGATGACTTTGTTTTATTTAAAAAAATTGTAAATGATAACAACAATTAAAATTTTAAGTCCGACCTCACTCAAAATATGACACGTTCTCTATTTCTTCATCCTCTCAACCTTTCACAACCAAAATTTAATAGCATCAATGCCCCTTATACACAAGCTCTCATGCCAAATTTCCTTATCATTATCCCTTGCTGATGGTTCCAGCTTCCCATAAAATATTTTTTAGGATGCATCCCCTGGCAGATCATTCACGTGTCGTGTTGCGGTAACCAAATAATCTAAACCAGTGTTTTTCAACCTTTTTGAATACGCGACCCCTTTACAAGTTAAAAAATTCTGGCGACTCCCCCTAGGGCCATATTAAAACTATATCAGTGATTTAAAAAATTATGTATTTAATTTTCTTTCTGTTGAGAGAAATTACTATTGACTAAAATGAGAATTTAAGGAGAATCGACAATAACTTAAGACACGTATAGTATGTTACTTCCTTCTTATAATAACAATGGGTTTGGAGTGCTGTTGACCTTTTTTTTTTTAGGATGAGGGTTTTTCACTTTAACTTTTCTACTTATTACTTCTTTTTACAAGTCAGCTCAACACTTTTTCGGCAGACATTTTCTGGGGTGGGCCGTACCGACCCAGGCCCCTTCCAGGCGACACCCATCATTCGGACCTAAATGTCAATCAAAAAACCAACTGTACTGTATAATAAACAGGTACAGCCTTCTCGCTGAAATTGTAGTTTTTTTAATGTAGTGTAGGACCTACAAACACTTGTCTTTTTCTTTTACCCGCGACCCCCGTGTAAGGCTTCGCCACTCCCCTGGGGTTCGCGACCCACAAGTTGAAAAATACTGATCTAAACTAATTCTAACGAGCGATTATTTATTGCGACGTCGTCACAATGCCGAGCTGAGACTTTTCTTTATAATGTTCTCAATTTTTTAGTGGTAATCTTGCAAATATACATTATACTTTTCCTGTTAGCAATAGAGTCGTGATGGTCATCGATCTAATCTGGTCTTTCTGCTCCCACGCTTTCTATATCTAGTCTCGACTTTCGTGTATCTAACTCCTTTTCTCGAGATTGAGGAAAGACAATCAGGTAGACATACAGTCTGACAACAGTCAAAATTTATAGTTGTACAATTTTTTTCAAATTGCAGCCCAATAATTTTTCTATAAACTCGATATTTACGAGGACATACTTTCCACATAATTTATACAGTCTGTTGCAAAAACATAAACATTTTATTATAACATAAACTACTTAATTAATACCCAGCTAGATGCTTTTTAACCTCCACAAAACACCTTATCTCACTTAAAATTATTTAATAACTGTAACGAAAGTTTTCAACCTGTTCTACAGGCTATTTTTAGGTTTTTAGAAATCAAGGAATATTGATAACTGTTCTTTTTTGTATAGAACAGTAAAAAACATATTTAAAATACAAAATTCTTTGGAATATTGAGCTATTCGAATCCAAAGAATACCAGTCGACCCCCTTATAACACTGTTGATAATTCCGTTTTATATGAATTCCATGTTGTACGAGTCACTTAGATTTTACAAATACGTGTGCCGGGCTGTGAACGGCTCACGTATTTGTAAAATCTAAGTGACTCGTACAACATGGAATTCATATAAAACGGAATTATCAACAGTGTTATAGGGGGTCGACTGTAAATTACAGTAATATATTTATATATATACAATTTAAAATATCAAAATAATAAAAAAAAGACATTCAAAATACGAGGTTACTGGCTGCACAAAATATGATTTAATTGAAATGCGTGAAATTAGGCAATTAGTGTTTTAAACTCTTACATAAAATAACATTCTAGTTATATAAATCAAATACTATAATACAATATAATAGAAAGGTTAGAAGTACGAAAAAATCGAATAATCTTAATGTTTGTTGTTATTTTTGACCGAGAAACGCCAGACTCATCTGCTAGTTCTAGAATAAATCATTTGTAAGTAGCCTGTATAACATGCACTTTTTGTATAGGAATGTCGCCTGTCAATACAGCTCCTCGATACAAAAGAAAATGGAAAACCTTTCGAGCCCTTATGTTTTGAGACTCCTTCTAAAGCTTTAATTGTAAACATTTAAATACTTTATTTAAATAATTTTCTGCTTACAGTATTAAAAAATTGTTTAAAAAAAAGCCGAATTAATAATCTGTATAATTAATTAAAATATTTTTCTTCAAAATTTAATAAATGAACTTCATTATTCCAACTATAGTTTTTATGGTTATTATTAAACAATACTTCTCAAAAACAATAGAAATAAATCTAGTATTGAAACAGATTTATATGGCGATTAATTTGCATTCTATAGTCTCAAATTTCGGAAAGCTGAAGAGTTTTCATCGTAAAATTTCGGATAACATTTTATTCCCGGGAGCATGCATCGATGGAATGTATTTGACCTGGGACCCGGGGACCGAAATCTGAACACCATCTTACGAATGGAAAGATTCGACAGTTGAGTTTTCGGGAGGCGTGCTCCTGGGAACTCAAATGGTAATACGCTTACTCAAAATTTTATGTTCCATTTGCATCAATTAAATTGCAATTACCAGACTTCGCCCAAGAGTTATCACCATCTTGTCACGGCACACTCAACATTAGGTAAGTATATATTATTTAATGCATCTGTTAGCGCAAATTTCATAAATTAATGATTCTATATATTCTTCATATTCATTACAACACTTCCTTACAAACACCCGTCACGATAACAAAGGGGCTCTGGTACACTAGATATACTAGTATATATATATATATAAAAGAAAATTTATACAGAATTCGAAATTCGTCTTCGGAATTGATTTTATAAGGAATTTTTCACTCTCGTATTACTCACTTCCTTCGTAATTGTCCAGATGAATAATTTTAAATGTTTTGTTATTATTATATTACCTTTATTTGTATAAAATGGTTTCAGTAATTATTAAAATTGTTTTATTTGTTTAAGAAAACGTTCTGACCTGGGGATTATAACAATAATGTCCTCGAAATATATTAACGTTTTATAACCGAAACGATACTTGAATTGTAAATAAAAGAATCTGGTTTAATTGTAGTCTTAAGTCATCTGTTACTTGAATATAGAAATTGGAATATTTAAAACAAATTTACAGTATTTTATTATACAGGGTGGGGGAAAAAATCACTTAATACCCTGCTATAAAATATAGAATGTACCCAAAGTTAATTCGCTCGTGTCAGGAATGGATTACACGAGAATTTTCTCAAATTTAAACCAATAATTTTTCTATAAACACACTTTTTACAATCTGTGGCGAAAATATAAACATTATATTATCATATAAGTGCAATTATTCTGGCATTTTTACAAGATTTTTTTTATTTAAACAAGTTTTATATGAAGTCTTTCGTACATAAAGGATAACAACTGCGATCTTGTACGGGGTCGTCACAACCTATCCAACACGGATCAAACATTAATAGTAGACCAGTATTAATTAGTAATCGTTGACTGTCCTCTCTCCCAGGAAGAGGTCAACGACTATTTTTGGTCGAATTAATTCAATTCTCTTAACATATTTTAGAAATTTTTTATTCTTCTAGTGTACATAATATAAAGAATTGTGTTAAAATTGGTCACTCGGTGTGATAAACCCTTACGTAATATAACCTGTGTAGTTATATAAACAAATACTATAGTATAATAGACGGGTTAGAAGAACGAAATAATGTAATAATCTTAATCTTTGTTGTTATTATTATTTTTTCCTGGGTAACGTCGGGATCATCTGCTAGTATACAGTTATAGATTTTCACTTTAAGTTATTATGTTATTTTTCTTTTGTCTCGGTAAAGACTGAGAGGGCTTTTTTAATCGTATCAATTGTAGATTCGACCAGACCCACGACGTGGGCAGCAGAATAGTGAGATATTCGGGACAAACCACCCATGAAAAATTCTTGGGAAGTTGCTCATTCGGATTCGAACCCAGATCACTAGAAGCGGTTGATTGACGTCTTTGTTGTTTCGTCTCTCTAGTCATTAAGCTGTTTATACTATAACGTTTACATAAAAAAAACAATAATAAACTAGATAAAATTTCATATATTACTTAATCAACAAGCTGAGAGTTATTCAAACAATTTAAATGAATTGTTATCAGAGAAAACACGCATCTATTACCATATGTTTCTAATTTTCCGACAAAAGAAAAATCAGTCGGAATTTAAGAAAATCTTTTATTTTTTCAAAATTTAAGACAATTTTCTGAAAAATTATTATTATTTTTTTTTAACTAAAATTTTATGAAGAAAAAAATTAATTTATTTCTGAAAAATCAATCATTTCACGTAATAAAACGAATAAAAATTAATATATAATTTAAATAGAAAAAACTTTGATTAATAAAATCAAAGAAAAATATCGAAAGCAATTTACTAAATGCATATATTAAAGAAAATTATATTTGAATTTTGCGCTTGCGTATTATCTCGCCAACATCTATTGACTTGGAAATGCGGAGAAGTGTGGCGAGTATCGGACATCTCTTACAACTTTACAATAATAATAATAGTAATAATAATAAGACACTAATAAATAAGTAAAAACATTCCGGCGAATGCTATAAATGATGCTGAAACAACGTAGAATTAACAAGAAAAATGTTGTAAATGGGGAATAATTTGTGCGTAAATCACGAGAAATCTTCTTCTTCTTCTTCTTCTTACGTATTGGATCAGATTATCAGCGAAAATCCGGATGAAGAACAAAATCCTATATATTCTCTAGCCAATTATAAAAAAGGTGGTATACTTATTAATACTTACAATCAAAAAGGTAAGGAAGGAGTAGGAAAATTTGCTAGAGAATTTCTACCGAAATTTTTCGAAGATAAGAATTTCACTAACGAAAAAGATCAGGTAAATTTTTAATAATATTTTCGCTTTTTGTAAAGAAAAATAAATCATTTTTACAGGTGGTGAGATTCATTTATTATTGTGTATACGTATTGTTTTCAGATTTCCGTATCTTTAGATGGTCCTATGCATAAAAGACTATGGAAATTAGAGAGTAGAGGTTTATTAGGAGAAAGTCTTTTGCATATTCTTGTCATCTGCAACACGCCAACGCATACAGAAATTGCATTAACTTTGTTGGAATTGTTTCCTAATTTGGCTTTGGATATTATCGAAGGAGACGAATACTTTGGTAATGTTTTTTCTTTTTATTTTAGAACTTACCCTAATTTATTGGTTATTAAGACTTAAATTTAAAGTAAATAAATAAAATTAATTTATATAAATAATTTAATAATAATTCCCATTAAAAATAATCGAATTTTTAAATAGAAAAACTCGTTTATTTTTGTTTCTGGAGTGACTCCAAAGATATACTCAGTCACTTGTCAAGCAACTGCCAGTTTTCAACGCTAACAAGAAGTCAAGATATAAATTCTAGCATTTATTTTAATTAAATGTCATATACATACAAAAAAAAAGACATGACATCTTTATTTTTGTACGTTCTTACGGCGTGTCATCATCCTAGTTTGATGACATCTTGAAAAGTTCTTCAGTATTCTTCAGTAGAAAATTAATTTTATCAAATAACATTTTAATTTCGAGTATTTTTAGGTGCCAGTGCATTGCACTTGAGTATCGCCTATCAGAATTTGAAATTATCGAAGATGTTAATTGAGAATGGTGCAGATATCTTTCAGAGAGCCACTGGACGATTCTTTAAACCTACCGATCAGCAATCGGCGGTTCCTAAAAAACAGACAAATTTTCACGGTTTGTATATATATTTTTAAAAATTATTTTACATTTTTTAGAAAATTAAATATGAATTTTTTCTTTATTAGGTTTATTTTATTTGGGCGAATACCCTTTAGCGTGGGCGGCATGTTGTGAAGACGAAACAGTTTATAATTTGTTGATAAAATATGGAGCAGATCCCAACATGACTGATAACTTTGGCAATATGGTCCTGCATGCTATTGTAATTAGCGACAAGCAGGTTGGTAATTTTTAATTGTAATAAAAAAAATACTTTAATATTAATACCTTGAACAATGTGCCAATGGGATCGTCCATTAATTACGTGTACAATTTTTCAGCCACTTTTGGCCCTCCTCCCTTTCTGTTGTGTTCAATGATGTTACTTTTGTCAAACTCCCTCCTCTTTACGTGTATAATAGTTTGTGAATTCCTTAATATTGAAGAAATGATTTTAAAAAGTTTTGCAAAGCTTATAAAAGCAAATTCGTATGCCATTAATACCACTACAGTGCCTCGTCTATGTAGATCATGTAGTTCATGTAGTCCTTGTAGATAAATCCTCCATCTCCTCCCTCCCTTAAACTGTACACATAATTAATGGAAGACCCCCAAATCTTCCTATTAATCAAGATATCTTATAGAAATATAGCCTTAAATTTAAACAGGACTTCTATTTAATTTCAGAGTATGTATGGTTACGCATTAAAACATCCAACGAAACCAGCAAAGGACGATATTTTGAATAAATATGGATTAACTCCTTTGGCCTTGGCCTGTAAATTAGGTCGAAACAAAATATTTCGAGAGATGTTAGAACTTCGGTCGTTCGTAAGTCTATTATTATCGTATTTGATTACTTTTTATGAAGCGAGAATATATAATAAGGCTTTTATATAAATAATAAATGAAAATATCGATACAATCGACTATAAACATTCTTACACTTTCTATTTGAATTTTTCTCGAATTTTCATCATAATGAGGAATTGGGCCTATATTAGCCTATTGATTACACTTTTAAATGATTAAAATCTAATTTATTATAATGAAATTAAGTAAAATGTAGGCTTTGACTATAGTTTTTGCAATCAGAACTTGAAAAAGATTACACCATTGTGGGTTTAGCCGAATCCACGATGAATACAGAAAAAGGTCCTAACTTATTTCGTATGATTATTCTTCACATTTATTATCGTATGGTCTCTGACAGGGCAGCCAGTACATTGGAGTACTTGTGGGACATGCTACCCCTTTTCGTTTCGGTTGCCCTTTTCCCAATCTCAAGAAGTCTCTAGACAACAGAAAATTCGTAACTTCTAGCCTATTCTGAAAATATAAAAAAAACTAATGAAAGATATTTGGCCATTGAACTAATGCATGTTGACCAAAACCCCATTCGTGTTTTCGAGGCCAATTTAGCCCCGAGTGAATATTGGATTCGACGTTGGATCATAGAATTTGAAGCTCCTTACATAATATACGATATCCTTTTTTATAATTTATGCCCTTCCTTTTTCATAGTCTGCGGGTGCTGCTGACCTTTGGTTATACAAAAAACATCATATTTATATCACTAGAAGACATATACATAAAAAGTACAAGATATATGATGTGAACCATCGTATATCTTCCACTAGAGTCTTGGTCTTATCCCTCTCCGAAAGCCATGAAATGCGTGAATACAAATGCATCACTTATTAAATACAGTATACTTTTATTTATACTTTTCTTACATAAAACACTACATTTCGTAGGTTCATCTATATCCAAGGCTAGAGCCAAAGTCCCTTGCTGGCCGACATCCTTCAACCTGGATCTATTAGTAACTGATGTATTATTATTAATTTTCAAAATATTTTAATGATTAGTCAACATCTTATTATAAAAAAAATAATACTAATAAAAAAATTCTCTTACACCAGATTTTGAAATTAGATAGAAATACAGGCCTACAGTACATTAAAATGTCGATTTATTTTCAATTCTTTTAAATGATATTTATGTATACGTTACTCATATTAATTAATGTTAGAGATAACGAGGTTCTTGTAATCAAGAACGTCGTTATCTTTGGGCGTCGTAGAGGTCATGAGAGATCGGACTGTTTAAGTTGTTGAGGCTCCAATACAAACACATATACACTTATATACTGTATATATACACAGTATTATGTATAAAAAATAAATGCATATTCTTCTTAATGTACAGTACAAGAAATACAATGGAATAAATCACTTGTAACAAATGTTTTGAAGGTCCTCCTGTGTTAGGGCCTGTTCACAATAATCTATTTCTTCCTGTATTTTTAATTTTACTTATTATAATTAATTATAAAATATTAAATTGTAACTAATAAATTTTTTAAAAAATATATGCAGATTATATTTATAATATTTAAATATTTAAGATAGTTTTCAGTATTCAGATTATTCTTAAAGATAAAATGGATAATTTTAAAAAATTCATTTTTATATATCTATAAATAGTTATGAAAATGATTATATTCCTATTAAATTTAAATAAGTTTATAATTTATTTAAGTTATAAAGTTTTTAAATTGATTAAATGTACATTAACATCCAGACAAAATATGATTAATTAATGATTATACGCCCAGTTAACCTTATTCTGGTGTTTAATCTAGATTAATGAAATCAAAATATGGGCTTTAACTTTTAATGTGGACTACATGCAGATTTTACAATTCCAGTATATATATATATATATATATATATATAGAAATACTGAACATTTATATCGAATTAAANTTTCTTTTATATATATATATATATATATATGTAAAGTCAAGAGTCAAGACACAAGTATTAGTCATTTAACTTTTAATCTGTTTATATTCAGATATTAACAATTATAATAAAGAAATATTTGCTTTATTTCTTTCATTCATTATTTACTATAGCCTAAAATAATTGTGTGTGGCTATTATTGGTGCTTAGGTGTTCTTAAATGATGAAAATTTGATATAAAGTACTGTAATACATGCGGAAGCAGCATTTAATGGGGGGAAAATACGTTAAAAATGGTCAAAATTACTTTTTCTTCTTCTTCTCCTCCTCCTCCTCTTCCCCATCCTATTACCATGTGAGGAGATTAATCGTGATCTGTGCGATAGAAAAGACTGATTTTCAGACTAGTTAAAGAGGGGCTGTTGATAAATTATGTAACGCAGATAAGGATAATAGTTGTGTAGTGTATGTAGATAGTCGTTACGATGCGTTACAAAGGAGTGGGATGTTTACAAAAACGTTACGTAATGCTAGAGGGTTTTTTTTTACTCTTTCCGCTTTGTGGGCACAAGAGGACCTCTTTTCAAGTCCATTATAGGCTTTCTAAAAAGGCCAGGCCCACGATGGGGTGGCCGAACACATAGTCGTGTATTATTCCTTAGTAGAATTAAGGAGATTGATTGAGGATATGCGTTACGTAATTTTGGGAGTGGGTATGTATGAAAGCGTTACGGAGAGTTACAGGGGGTAAGATTCTTGTTGAAAAGTACAAAAATATCGTTATGTAATACAACAGATTGTGTTTGTACAGTGCAAAATGTCTGCAACGTTCGCATTGCATATAACTTACCGAAGTTTGCGAAAATATAACAAGTTTCGATAATCCGACTCTTGTCTCGTAGATGCCGGATTAACGAACTTCTACTCTATATATTTGTGTAGTAAAATGTCTGACGGATATAAGGGANATAAAAGAAAGAGAATTGAGCTGTTAATTTGTTTTTTTTTAGAATAATTTATTTCTTTGTAATTAAATTTGTGTGAAAATTGTGGGTTTGGTAGAATGTGGCAACGCAACTTACGGGCGATTAGCCTCTCCAGAGGACTTTTAATGGAAAACTGGCCCCTATTTGGGTGTTAGATGGGTGAAGATATGGGAAAAAGGCTCTTATTTGGGTGTTAAATACGCGACGATATGTGAGAACTGGCCCCTATTTAAGTGTTAATAATTAAAATTATAACGTGATTTTCAAAAATGGTGTTAACATGTTAGAAATAATTATATTTTTTAAGTTAATTGCGATTTTCTTTACAACGGTTAAGTAACTAAAGATTTTAATTACAATCTTAACTATGAATTATCATTTCTTTAGGAATTTTGGAGATACAGTACGATCACGTGCTGTGGTTATCCCCTGAATGCATTGGATAGTTTACTTTCAAATGGAAAAACAAGTGATTTTACTTTTAAATTTTACTTAAAAATATAAATTAAACAAATACTTAATTTTTTAAATGAACTAAAGTTCCATAGTCGAACTTCGATTTAGCGCCATTTTTGTTTACTTTTAAAACTGGCATTAAATCGAGCGTGATTCTAAACCAGTGGCTCCCTCGTCATCCTGCTGCTCCATCGTGGGCCTGACCTAAGCCATAATAAGCTTGCTAAAAAAAAAAGGCCCTCCTAGTGTCAGCTCGGGAAAGTTTAAAAAAAAACTAGTGGCTGATTAGGACGTTTCGGGAGCCCAACTCACAGAAGATTGGGGCCCCTCTACACAATGTCGTAGCGAGGAGGGTGCAAGGGAGTGTATCATGCACCGGGTGCCACTCGCAGAGGGACGCCCAAATGGTCTCCAAGACAAACTATATGTGTTTCTGGAGGGGGAGGGGGCGCAAATAAAGTGTCGTGCCCCGGGTGCCAGTTATGTTCGCTACGCCACTGTCTCTACATAATTTTATATCATAAACTAATAACGTCTAGATGTACTATTACAACGGCAAAAACTGCTTTTTTTCCTTCCAATTCCCTCTAAGAATGCCACACGTAGGCCTAACTACTGAACCTCTGGTCACGTATCTAGTGAGCCACGAGTGGCCTCTAAACATGTAACCTCACGTACTGTACGTAGTGAGCAATCCGGCACGGCACTGAACTAAAATACTGTACTTCAAATAAGAATTATATAGGCCTAGTAATGAGGCCTGCATATAAGTTTGAGTTTGCAATTGAAAATCATGTGATTCGATGATAACAATGTAGTTTGCAATGCGAAATCCAACGTTTAGCAATTCATGGATAATGATGGATTCTGTATTTGTTACCACTTTAAGAGGTTTGGCGCTATATCGAGGTTTGACTGTATTCAGGTTACTAATTTCCTTTCTAGTAAGAAATTATAATGGAATTTATGATAAATTTTGAAAGATTTTAAACTATATTCGTATATTTTCAGATTGGAATTCAGCTATACTTATAATTTTAAGTGGAAATACAAATGAGCATTTAGATATGTTAGACGGTGGCGTGATCGAAAGACTTCTGGAAGAAAAATGGAAGACCTTTGCTAGAGTAAATACACTATTTTTGAAGTTTACTTCTGCTTGAAAATAATTGATATTTTTATACCAGATGATCGTAAGTACAGTATCCCTGTTCAATGATGTATAAAGACTTATTTGACAGTCCAAGTGCATCCAAATCGGGTATGGTGATATTTCATAACACGCAGAAGACATTTCCGTAGAAAATAGTACGAAAACTCTCTACTATGCCATTTTTTTGGCACTGCATACAATGAAAAACAGTATTTTTGTATAAGCATACGTGTTGCAGCCAAGTTATAGGTATGATTGCAGCCACAATTGTTGAATGTCATTCTTATCAGCTACGTGGATTATCACTTTGCCAAAACGTGATTTCTTGAGTTGTTTTGTGGAAACAACGTCAATGCTGCGGCTGCACTTTGGAAATTTTGTTGTTGTAAAAATTTATGCGGAGGACCATTGATTCCACAAAGTCTCAAGAGAATAAACTCGATTCAAGAAACTGGATATATGGGAGGGAGTTCAACCCAATGAAAGGTTCAAATCTATCACTTCATAAATCGTTGACGACGTTATCACATTTGTTTCTGAATAATCAATGAATAATGTTGCAGGCTCCAGCAATGCACGTTAGATATATCATATATACTGGGCGCGTGAAAGATATTAAGAAAGTTGGTGCATTATTACCTGTATAAGATCATACACAACCAGCTTGCTGCTTGCTGCTTACGGGGAAATTCGACTGACATTTGCATTGATTTTGCTTGTCAAAATGAAAGTAGATTTTTTATGGCATGGACAAGCCGCGAGTGTGGCCAATATGGAGCAACGAGGCACGTTTTCAGTTCAGTAGAACAGTGAACATCCATAACTTAGGCCACAGTAAACCTTTGTTTTCTATCAGATTTTACTGCATCACTTAAAGTTACAGTCTGGCATGGATTCATAGGCGTATTTATCCTTGAACCATTCTTCGTCGAAGATATTAGTACCAATGAGCTTGTGACATAATCTGTGATGACCCAAAAATATGGAGAAATCTTCAATACTTTTGTAACAACCCAACTGCAACAGTGACATCGCCTTGAATCGACCACTTTCATGCAAGATGGAATGTATCTACCTATTTCATCGATAACAGAGTGATTAGTTGCGCATTTCCTCCTGCCTGGCCACTTAATTCTTTAGATTTTAATTCGTATGCTTTTTTGTTTTGGGGACATTTTTTTGTTGTTGGGACATTTAAAAGTGTGGTTTATCGGGGACCTGTTGCTAATTTGGCAGCTTTGAAAGACAGTATCATATTAGATCTCAGAAGATCGAAGATAGTCAGAGGATCGAACACATTGTTTATCGCCTTCAGGTTTTACACCTTTAAAATGACATCCACATTGAGCAGTACCCGCTGCATCGCTAAGATCACTGTAGAGCACGAATGTCTTGAAGAAATGAAATGTTTTTTTTTCTTGCAGCGCCAAAAGTGCCACAATGGTGAGTAGTGGTACTAATTTCTTTCACAGAATGTCTTGCAATGCCCTGAAATGCCAGATTTGGTTGTAGTTGGACTTCTCTCTATAGGGAATTGAATAGGGGTACTTTAATTAATTACAATAATTACAGTACATGTGTGTGTTTGTGTGTATGTGTTTATTTATTATCAACGGATTTCTTCTTATTATATATATTAAATATATAAAACCCTTAAGTTATTTTTCCAAACTAATATATAATTTAAGACTTATTTATATAACTTATATAATTATCATCGATTTAATAACAAAAACAAAAGAGATGTTGGTACCTTCGATCAATTTCCAGGGTCACATTAGCTGTATACGCGTTACGCCTACGCCTCTGTTAAATTATACAAACGAATTATTATCATTTATTATTTAATTTATGACACGAGTTATGTGAGAAAGAATGTATATACATTTAAAAAATATTTACTATATATATATATTTATTTAACGCTACATTTCAAACAGATTATCCTTTGCATACTTAAATAATTTATTAATATAATTTAAAAAAATTTGAAGATAAAATTTATAAATATATTTTAAATTTCAGCGACAATTTATGAAGAGACTATCGTTGATATTTATCCATTTGGTTATCATGAGCATCGCTGTATTTTTAAGAAAAGATATTGGAAAACCCCTCCTCGGTCCGACAGACATACATTCCATGGTAAATATTACATAGAAAATACATTAAATTTTAACCTCATTAAATTTTTAAATTATCTTTTTACTTCTATATAACTTCGAGAAAGTATATCTTGGATAAAGATATAATTTTGGTTAAAGGTACTAAACTCGTGACGTAAATATTCCATTTTTACGTTTCTACGAAGCATTTATAACTTAGTTTCACGTTTCCGAAATTCTCGAGAGTGAAAAGTTGATCAATTTATGACCTCCGACCTCTTAGATGATGAGTAGACGAATAAAAATCAATATTTTTCCAGGAAAATCGAACGAAAATAGGAAAGTGTGTTATCGCTTTGAAGTACACACGCTTCGATAACACAGCTTTTTTCTTAGAAAAAAAAATTTTTTTATATAAAAAAAATATCGTACAATGCATGAACTAATATTAAAGCTTTTAATTTTTTTTTTTTTTTGTTTTCTTTCTTTTCTATTCTTAGTGTCGATATTGTGCAGAGATTGGGACTTGTGTCGGTTGTATAGGATTTGTAATTTTTCAGCCAGCCGAAGAAATTCTAGCTCAAGGATTAGCCACGTTTTTTATTAATGTGGTAAGGATATTTATATTAAATATATTTATAAAATTTAAGATAAATTAAGTATATAAATGCGAATAAAATAAAAATAATTAAATATATAGTTTATATTTTCGACAACAGATGGCAGCAAGTGTATAATGTTTAAATATTTAATTTTTTTTTNTTTAGGTTATAACATTTTTAAATCAATGTAAAATTTGCTTTACTAGGAAAAATATTTTAGAAAATAAGAAAAAAAATTATATTTATGCATTTTATTTTAGTATCAATCAATATATCTTGTTTTTAAATAAATACCATTCGTAAAATTGACTTTTTTCTCTTTTTTTTCCTTTTTTGTACTTCCTTCATCGATTTTTATTCTGTTTATTAATTTACTAACATTTTCTAGATGAAGATAGCAAGAAAATAATTATAATATTGCAAAAGAATAATTATATTTGATCCCTTTTCTCTGTTTAATTATTTAAAAAACAGTGAAAATAATTTTTTATAGGCCCGAAAATAATTTCTTATAGGCCTTATTAATGTAAAGTTCAACAGTAACTAGTGAAAATGCATGAAAAAAAACCATATAATTTTATTTTTAAGCTTATTGTATTACCAAAAAAATATATTTTATAACCATTTTTATATAATTTTTTAAATTAATAATGTATATTTATAATCAGGGCCTGAGAGAAGCGAGGTGGGGCCTGTCTAGGTCTTATTATAGGCTCGAGTCTTACATATTTAGGGTCTTTAAAAACGTGTTATAAATCATTGAATTTCTTTTATATTAAGATGAAAAACTCATTGCTTATTACTGTTTAATATACTGCAGACGTATCTCTCTCAATCTCTAACAGGCCTTTATAAATGTGGGCCCCGTCCTTCTCCGAAAGCCAATAAAACTAATAAAAATTGAGTTATAATCATAATTTATATTACTTTTATATTATGTTTTTTTATATAAAATACTAAATTTTAGATCTTTTTTAATGTCTAGTATCAATAGCTTAACTAGATATTAGGGGGCCAATTAGAACATACAAACCTCCTGTACCATTATGGATGTAGCCACTAATGCTATGGATGAAGACTAAACTGTTAGATGCATTTCCTGTACTTATTTGATTTATTCTTAATTAATTAATTTAATAAGTTAATGGGTTTCGGGTAGACTATACAGAAGGGGGCACGAGCTATAAAAAAAGGGGACATCGTATATTATTTAAGAAGCTTCAAACTCTGATTCAATGTCGGATCAGCGCTTTCACAAGTCGCAAATTCCCTGTTATTTGTTGATAATGGAATTTTGGACCCCTTGGGGTTTAGAAAAAGGGGTAACACAGACAAAAAGGAGTACTTGCTTAAGTGCCCCAATGTACGGGAGCCTTCGGGCCCCTCTTTGGTTACGCTACCTAATCACACGACTTTTATACTATAGTTTTTCATCGCTTGATCGCAAAATAACAATAAACAATAACACATATTATTGAATATTTTCCAACTTATATTATTATATTTACGTTAAGATAAAGGATTATTTTCGTAGATAAAATTGTAGAAAATTTTTTAGATAATTGTATATTAAAAAATTACGTAATATAACAAATGTAAAACGTGTATTTTGCACACATCCGACTTACGAGGTGTGTGTTTTTTTTTAATTTTTTAAAATGTAATAACTTCCGTTTCCTGTTTTCAATCGTTTTGAAAAATCAATAGTGTCATCGTGCGAAAGTAACGAATGTTTTTTTGAAAATCAAATTGTTTCTCACTACGTTAAGCCATGTTTTACTTAAAATAATACAGTAAAATCGGTCGTAGAAGCGTGGATATTATTTTTTAAATCCAGTAGAAAAGTTTAAGGTGCTTTAAAATATATATAATTTTTCCTTGAAAATAAAGAATTTTTCCATATAAAATATATATATATATATTTTTGTATAAAACATAAAAGAAGAAATGCCAAGTGGTGTTCAGTTAAATCACTTCATGATCCATATCGTATAATTTGTGATTTATACAAAGAAATATGAGGAAGTATCGTTAGAAAATTATCGATGTGACGATTTTATATGAGAATATTCTATCAAAAAATTACCATTTTATTATAATATTAGCATATACTTATCAGATGAATGGGTTTATGATCCTTAATTATGCCTAAATAATGGTTTTAAGTCCCCGTAAAAATGGCTTCACTATGAAAAGCCTTTAAATCCAGGCTATCTGTGAAAGCTTGAAGTTAAAGGCTTTTCATAGAGGAGCCATTTTTAGGGGGTCTTCTCATAGAGAGTCGTTTGCTCTGAAGTTCCTCTGAGAGGCCCTACTTTGCAACAGGGATTTTCAGAGGACTTCATGTTTATGAAATCCTCAAAAAATTTGTTATGAATTATTAATTCTATTGAATTTTTTGTGTATTAAGAAAAAAAATAAAGCTTATATTTTTGTTTTCAAAGAGAAAAATGATACTTTTACACCTAAAATTAAACGATTTTAATCATTTTAAGAATAAATTTATACAGGAAAACACGAATAATTTCATATTAATCTTTATTTTAAATACATTCTGAATCCGTTGAGCATTTTAATTAAGTTAAATTTATGTTTATAATTAAATAATTTTAATTCGAAATAGTTTAAGTAATTTTTAGGTTAAATAACACGAGAAATATATTTCCAGTAATTTCAACGTCCGATTTCACGCATTGTAATTCTCTAAATCTCTTAAACACTGGGACAATGCAATAATTAAAACGTTGAAATGTTACGGTTTAGAATGCAACGATCTAAATTCCATGAAGATTATTTCTTTAATAATTTTATACAATTTTTTTTTCTAGTTTTTAAAATATTTTGTTTCATAAAAGAAAGAGAATTGAGCTGTTAATTTGTTTTTTTTTAGAATAATTTATTTCTTTGTAATTAAATTTGTGTGAAAATTGTGGGTTTGGTAGAATGTGGCAACGCAACTTACGGGCGATTAGCCTCTCGAGAGGACTTTTAATGGAAAACTTGTCCCTATTTGGGTGTTAGATGGGTGAAGATATGGGAAAAAGGCTCTTATTTGGGTGTTAGGTACGTACGATATGTGAGAACTGGCCCCTATTTGGGTGTTAATTAAAATCATAACGTGATTTTCAAAAATGGTGTTAACATGTTAGAAATAATTATATTTTTTAAGTTAATTGCGATTTTCTTTACAACGGTTAAGTAACTAAAGATTTTAATTACAATCTTAACAGGGTAATCCACTTATTTAACGTTGTAAAGACTAAACTGTACCAGTCGACCCCCCTATAACACTGTTGATTTTTCCATTTTTTATATGAATTCTATGTTATACGAGTCACTTAGATTTTACAAATATGTGTGCTGGGCTGTGAACGGCTCATGTATTTGTAAAATCTAAGTGACTCGTACAACATAGAATTCATATAAAATGGAAAAATCAACACTGTTATAGGGGGGTCGACTGGTAATTAATTAACTAAAAATATATAATTATTTTTATTGTATTTCTATTATTTTTTCACCAATTTTAAATAATTAAAACACGATGTTTTAAACAATTTTCGAAAAACAAAACTCAGTTAATTGACCTTTCGGCAACTATAAAATAATAATGTTTAGTCTAATTTTTTAATTAAATAATTATTTTAATTAAGTAATTTACTTTTAATTATGTATGTAAATTACTATAACATAATTAGTGGGAATTTTCTTTATAAAATTTAAAATTTTTTCATGTTTAAGAATTTATCATATAAAATAAAATATTAAATCATAAATTTTGATTCGTATGAGAAATATCCAGGACCAAATAGAAAGTGTACAGATAGGGCCTTTGATCAGAACTGCAGACACAGAAAGGCCCCAAAATTCAATAATCAATGGAATAAATTATATGAGTTTGATATAAATTAAATTTTCATTTAAAATGTGGTAAAAGATTTGTTATTTATTTAATCTAAGCGTGAACCCACGCCCCAGAAACTGGGTTTTCGCCTGACCAGAGTGGGGTTTTCCGGTTCTTTTCACGTGTCTAACACCTAAATAGCTGACCACTTTTGATACCCTGAAGTCCCCTTCGCAGCCAATAACAACAGGGCAATGTCCAAAAAAGCTTTTTTAGGGCCCCTCTGAGATTAGGAGCCATTAAGAATGTTCCCCTAACCTTAAGCTTTATTACTTTCATAGTATATTTGCCAGTGTAAGGGCCAGTTTACTATAGAAAGTCCTCTCAGCAGGCAGATTGCCTTACGCCATCAATCCATACATGTATGCTATTTTTATGGCTTTAGATGAAGAGCGAGGCTACACATTTGTGACTTATCACAGTCTCATCTCCTTTCTCTCGGGTTCTCGACTCATATCTAACGTAGAACAAAACCATTGACGAAATATTGATATCTTTCAATATAGGCTAAACCAATATAAATTCTTTACACAGATAAGCAACCCCCCAAAAGCCATCTTTCTACTTTCGTGCATATTAATACTTTTCTGCATTCCTTGCCGATTAACAGGAGATAGATCCACTGAAGATATCCTTTTATCCATAGCTCTTCCTGGATCTTGGCTCTTCTTAATGTTTTTTGCAGGGTAAGACACTTTAAATATTAATATAATGGGCCAAATATAAAAATAAATATAATAAATTGCCTTAATTTAGGGCCATTAAATTGACCGGACCGTTTGTGACTATGATTTATAGTATTTTAACAGGAGATATGTTTAGATTTTCTATCATTTACTTCATTTTCTTACTGGCATTCACCCAAGGTAAGCATTTTCAACATGATATTGTTATTGTAGAAGTATTTAAATGTTTTAAACAATTTGATAACGTAAGAGTTTATTTTTAAACCTTTTTTTCATCCCATTCGTACGTTTACATTTGAAATTAAAATTTAAAAAATTAAATAATAATTCTTATATTAAATTACTCAAATTTTCTGATAAACTTTAATTAAATTTCTTCATTTATTTATGAATTTAATAAATTTAATTATTCTTATTGTTATAATGTTATAATGATAAAGGGAGCTAGTTAGCTGCTCAGGGGGAACCGGGTTCGAATTTAGAGGGTCAAAAACTCCAGGGATTTTTCAGGGGTGATGTATCGGTCCTCTCGCCACCCGATGGGCCTGGCTTAACCTATAATGGGCTTGCTAAAAACACCCTGTTGGTGCCCACAAGGTGGAAAGTGTTTAAAAAATTGGCATTAAAATACTTGTAGAAAGTTTTAAATTATCAAAATATAAATATTTATTAATTATTACAGTTTTATAAAAGCTTTCTCTAACTACTACCATGTTTTGCCTCATCTTTCTTGTACATCTTTATCTTCCTCCTACAGTGATGAGGAAAAATATTATGTATTTCTCCTCATTATTACGAGTAGGATAATAGGCCTATATATAATAATTAATCGGATGTAAGATGCGAGGAGGATGATAAGGAGAAATACTTTATAATACATAATGTTTTTCCTTGTCGTACTTAAGTGTCTTTATCATTTTCCTGAGATGAAGAGGAGAAATATAAATTATTTCTCTTCGTTTTACATACATTATAACACATAAAATTGTTATATGCATTCGTTAAATTGTTTAATTATAAAATATTCTATAAATTAAATATAAAAATAATTTTAATAAATATATTTTTAAATATATTCCAGCATTTTATTTCCTCTTCAAAAGTCAGAAAAGTAAAAGATTTCAAACGTATCCAAAAACTTGGATAACGCTCTTTCAAATGACATTAGGAAATTATGAGGTAAATTAATAAGAAAATAATCTTTAATTAAGGTCGTTAATTAAATAATCGTGCATTAATTTTACATTAAAGTTCCATTAAAATAGTAAATTATTTCTCCATTAACTGTCAAAGTAATCCGATTTATGCGCATAATACATAATTTCCGTTCAAGTAAAGTTTAAGATGACATTTTTCGAGCATCTACAATTAATTCTTGTTATTTGTCTCGTATTTTTCAACAATTTTCTTCACTTTTTATACGAATAAGTGAGGAATTACTTCATAAAATCTCATAAAATTGATAGAGAACTCGCCGAATTAATTTATTAATGTAATGGTATCAAGGATGGTTACTTTTTTTTTAGTATATTTTCGTAACAGGTACGTAAGAATGTCATCAACCGACCCGTTTCCAAGGGTGAAGTTATGGATGATCATACGTGAAATTGCATTATATATTTTATCATTGATGTTATTGGTACGGATATGTCATTTAACTCATAACGAAAGGTTATAAATTTAGATTTATGAAACCTAAATACATTTTGTTACTGCTTAAAAAAATATATATATACCGTATATTACTTATACTTTATCAAAAGGATATTGATCTTGTCACCAGGATATAGATTACATTGCTGATCAAGTAGGATGTGACAGAATTGGATTGGTTTATGGTACGAGGCGAGTGGTGCCCAAACTACGACCCGCCAGTATATTTAACACATCATTCGAGTATGACGTCAGCAGTTTATGGGGGGGGGGAAATACATTTGTATCTCTATTGCTGACAATGGGGGAGGAAGGGTGAGTCTTTGATGACGTGAGATTGCACCCGTCGTTTATTTTTCTCTCCAGTCATCACAAAATTGAAAATAATTCCTTTATATTTGAGGAAAGTTTAAATGTCTGGCCTGATGAAATAATATGGGGGGATACATTGAGCTCCGATGGCTGGTGAGGTGGGGAGAAGAGATAAAAAAAATGATAAATTCTTGGTTATGTGATGCTTTAACAGCCCCTAATAAGTGATAGAAGTTAGCTTATTTTTTGTATATTTTTATATGGAATATTTAACATTTTTGTGGCCCACTTGGTATGCAATTTGGCTCACCAATGGAAAATTTTTGGACACTACTAATATAAGGTAATGCAACACTCGAGCGATCAAACAAAGAGAGTTGTTTGGTAGGATCTTACCCCTGTTTAGGTTGTTAGACACGTGAAGAAAACCGGAAAACCCCACGTGTCCAGCTCGTGGTCAGGCACGAACCCGCGATCAACTATTAACCTTCGGTAGGATGACAGGATACGTCATTAAATTTAACGTTATTTAAATATTAAATGTGGTTTTTTTTATTAGTTAATTAAAAAATTCGAATTGCAAAATACTTGATTCTGACGTAACAGAATTTCTAGAGTAACGTAATTACTTTTATAATTCGAGTTGCATAATCGTGATCTAACGTAGATTAAAGAAAATGCCAGTTGCATGATTGATTGTGAGACTTATTGTAAACATTTTTAAATGTATTTTTCTTATTTCAGTACGATGAAATCCGTCGCACCGTTTATTATTACATCACTCAAGTAGTTTTCACAGTTTTCCTGGTATTTATGCCGATACTCTTGCTAAATATGCTGATCGCCATGATGGGTAATACGTATTGTCAAGTGATTGAACAATCGGAGAAAGAATGGGTGAAGCAGGTAAAACAATCCTTTAATTTGCGTGTAAATAATTCTACGATAAAATTTAATCTTTATTTTCTTTCAGTGGGCTAAAATTGTTGTCGCTCTCGAAAGAGCCGTTAGTCAGAAGAAGGCTCGTGAATACATGCAATGCTATTCTATACCCGTTACAACAGCTAATGATGAACAAGAAAATAGAGCCGTTATGGTTATTAGAAGAAAGTTAAAGTCGAAAGCTAGACAGAGGAAAGGAGCATTATCAAATTGGAAGGTTGTATAGGCAATTTTTAAAATAATTGTTCTATTTACAGTATATACAGGGTCAGAGCCGGTCCTACCATAGGGCGAACGGAGCAGCCGCTCCAGGCGCTAAATGCTATTGGGCGCCTCAGTGGTAAAGAAAATTAAAGGGTATAAATTAGGGGCAACCAAGGGGGCGCCATAATAGGATCTCGCTCCATCTTAAAACTTGCCTCGGGCCGGCACTGTACAGGGTGATCGTAATTGAAGAGTAGATGTTTAGAGCTCTGTGTAGAAAGAACTATTGGGCAAATCCCAACCAAACTTGGTATATACATTGCCCCATGTATGCGGTTTCTATTTTCGGGAGAAAATTTAACTTTAAAATACAACCGCTAGAGCAACATTTAGCGCTGCTGTCAATCTCCTGAAAACACGAAATCATTTTCCTGAAATTCCAGTGGTCAGAGGACCTTTCCGTAAACGTTTTAAGCGTCGAAATTCCTTTAGGTGTAGAGCAAGCATTGCTATTTCGTTGATAGAAAAGTTTAATTAATAAGTAACGTACGATCAGGAGCGAATACCGTGACTATTCAACTGTAACGAACGTTTTGCTACTCCTTTTGTACTCGGAATTCGTTAGGAAACGTGTTTAACATACACATTAAGGGGACAGCAGCGTCAAACTTTGCCCTAGCGGCTAAATTTGAAAGGAAATTTTTATAGTCTTTTCTACAGAGAGCTTTGAACACTTACTCTTTAATTATGAATACCACGTATATTTTACACAGAAATATTTTGAATTAAATATACAAAGCGTATTCCATTGAAAAATTAACAAAAAACAAATGAATGAAGTCGTTACGCATTTTAATTTACGAGTAACATTGTTCTCAGTATTGTAATACTTTACAATTGATAATAAATTTTAAACATATTTTTAAATTTCGTCATCTCTTGGCATTTATTGCAATTAATTTAATTATAAATTTACTTACAGAGAATGGGAAGACGAGTAATTTTTCAATTGAGGAAATCGAAACAAGTGGACACGAATAATGTAGCACAGTTAAATGATATTAACGAGCCGAATGAGAAATTTGATACGGGAAATGAAAAAAATAATAGTGTAAATTCGAATATTCTCACTAGTGGAATGTTAGATAATGTCTGTACAATATTAGAAGCATATTCAATTGATAATTGCTTGGATCCGTCTTCCCCTACTGCACCAAATGTAATGGATAATACACCACAAGAAGATATTATTAAAGAAGAAAAAACAATAAATATAGAAACTTGTCAGTTAGTAAAAAATGTAGAAGAATTAGAAGAAAGAAATACTTTGTCAGAATTAAAAACAAGTATTCAAACCGGTGACATCAAAGAAAAGAAAGAGATAAATGCGAATTTAGAAAGAAAGAAATCTTTGTTGGAATCAGAGTCAAAATTTACAACTAGTGCACTCAAAATCGCATCGCAAGAGATTGTTCTTGCAGAAAAGAAAGATATTAATGCAGTGGAGCAAGAAAGGAAATGCTTTTTGTTAGAATTCGACCAGAAATATTCACGTTCTCTACCTACAATGTCGTCAGAAGATGTAGACGAAAACAAGGAAAAGATACACTTAGAGGATACAAGAAAAGGAACCAAAATAAAAATCTGTAAAAAGCGTAAAAGGCACACATTTACTAAATCAAAAGTAGGAATATTAACAAACGAAAATGAACTCAATCCAGAAAATAGTTGGATAGATAACACGAAATTACATCCAAATAGACCAAAATCTTCTTACAGATCATCGCGTGTAAAGAACCAAGAAAAGAGAACTCCGAAAAGAAAAAGATGTTCAAAGAAAGTTAAAATGTCAGAATCGTCCAGTTTAGAAGAATTAAATCAATATAACATTTCTAAGAATCCAATAAAACAAAAGGGATTGACTCATTGGAGTACGAAAGATGTAGTCGATATGAAATCTCTAGTTGCTTGGAATGAAGATTTTTTTCGGGAAGATCCTTAAAACTTTCAGAGTAAATCGTAATTATGATACGTAGAACTACATTAAACTTTCTATACTTTCCTTAGTATTATATAACTTAAACGCAAAGCGAAGAAAGTATTGATAGAAACAGTTTAATCAGTTTAACAGCACTATTTATATATTGAATGTAGTAAAATTCACCCAATAAAATTTTATTTATATATATTTTTTTATTTTGGAAGAAAGTTACCATTTGATTGTTTATTTTGACGTAAGAATAAAGCGTAGGAGTTTGAAATTCAAAACTATATTCCGTAAACACGAATAAATTCATTTTTTTATATAGGATGTTAGCGAATCGGGTGAACACTATTTATTTTTTTATATCTCGTATATCCGTAGTAAAATTATTTATTATTAATTAACACAACGTTAAAAAGTTGCAAAAAAAATATATATATTTTCTTCTTATTATGAAATTATTCCGTGAAATTGTAGAATTATATTTTTCCTGAAAGTTCATTAACCGTATCACATATCAACTTTTTTAACCATTATAAGAATTAGTTATGGCCATAACGTTAGCAATTTTTTCGTATTAAATTATCTCGGATACTTCTAAAAATTCTTAAAATACTTATTGTATTATTATAAAACTAGTTTATACATAAATTTATAATTATATAGACTTTGCGATAGTATCGCGCTTCGTTTCAATACATCTGTAACGTAGAATAATACAAAAAAAAAATGGCTTTTGTTATGACATTTTTCCTTTATATAACTTATAACAATTGCACTTACGTCATATTAAATCACTAAATATATATCTTATCGAAAGTTTAACGTCATGTGCCTCCACAATAGCTATCTTTAGGCAAACGTTTTTGATTTTAACAGCTGAAAGTTGTTATATTATGTATCTAATTTGAAGAATATCCATTTAAAAAGCCATGGCTCTTCGTATAAAACAGAGGAACACGTGTCGGAGCCTTTGATATCCGGAGCTCCCACAGCGAAGGCTTCTCTACCCGGTTCATGGTAAGGACTACGCGATAAATTTTGATATTTTTGATCCTATTCTACCAAGGAATCAAAATTTATCGCTCGGTCTGTTAATTTTTATGAGTAGAACTTAAAAAAAGCCATGAAATCCATACAAAAATTTGACTTTTTGGTTATATAATTTGGTTCGGGACTCTTCGGAGATGTAATTTATATTAAAATATCTTGATATTGTATTTTTTTCAAATAATTCAAATAATAATCAGTATGTGTATAAATATTTTAATTCGAATATTATATTATAATGTGAATTTAAACTTTGATAAAGAAAATTGATAAAAACAAGAGGATATGACTCAATTTAAACGCCATATATACTCAACTCAACAGGTGATACATATATATATATATATATATTTTTAAATTGTGGATTTAATATTTTATATTATTCATAAATATATTTTAATAATTAATAATAAATATTTAAAACCATTTTTAAAATTAGTTGTAAAATCCAACGAGATTACAAAAAAAAAAAATCAATTTTAATTACTAATCAAAAAACAACCATCAGATGGCGTTCCGTCACGAGAAATAGGGTTAATAAACGGTAGAGGAGTGTACGTCTAAACGTAATTACTGGAAATTACAAATTCAAAACACAACTTTTCTTCATCATTGGGGCAAAGAAACATTCGTTTCATCCGCCATGTGATAAGCTGGCAACCATTGGTTTATTCAACCCACGTGATTGGCCTGGTTAAAGATGGCGGATTGCAACGAGGAACATGAGCACGTTCAAGTATCGGAACATGCCAGCTGTTCGTACAGTCGCGACAGGCAGTTATCAGAAGTCGCAAGTAGATCAAGAGTAAGAATTTGATTTACGTTTGTTTAATTAGTTTAAGCGTATTCGGTCGCGTTGTAATTCTATACATTGTTAACGAGACGGTGCCGTTCTGATAATGTCCGACCCCATTTTCCTTATATCCAGTCTTTCTCTCAACACGTTGTTCTCGTCTTATTTTCGTATTTCAGGTAGGTTTAATCGATACCATGCAATCACTGAGTCGTTTCTCAATGTACAGTTAAGCATACTTTTCATCATCATCATCGTCGTCGTCATCATCATCCAAATATTTATATTTCTAAACGTGTCAAAATTTCTATTTGCAACCAATAATAACAATAATAAAAATCGTCAGAAAAAAAGGCTATGACCTTCTTCCTATCCTTCATAAACGGGACGAGGTTATTCCAATGCTGAAATATCTGTAAATCATCTAAAAGTTAAGGTAATTTATGCTTAAATAATTAAGTTTTATCCTTAGATTTTTGATTGATTAATGGCTAAAAGTATTAGATTTGAGTAATTTTCTTTTTCTGGAGTGTCAGAAATTTCCTACAGCCATATGTATTAAAGAAGAGTCTTTATTACAGAATTTCTTAAAACTTTTTAATGGGAAAAAAGAATCAGTTTTGTTGTATACATATTACTTTATATTGTAATAATTTAAAATATCTTTCAGGTATGTTTTAGGTTTAGAGAGTTTGTTTGCAATGGAAAAATAAATATTTAATTCAATATTTTGAACATATTTAACTGGAAATTAAGCTGGTGTTTTTTAGTGTGCTAATATTTAACTTCAGAAAACATAACATTGATTATGTAATGGAAACAATCTTTGTACTTATCAATACAGAAAAATATGTTACTTGTTATTGACAAATATTGTTAGTAAGTTTAATAATAATAATAGGAAAGTTGTATAGATTCTAGAATATTTTTATTTACACAGTTGTCCTAATTATTAAGATCCTGACAGTTGTTCTTTTAATTAGTAGGTATTTTCATTATTATAAAGGATAATTTTTCAAATTTTAAAGTTGGTCGAGATGTATTAAGATAGTATTTAACTATATTAGCGCTCGATGAGACTAACATTAAGTTAGTCTCATCTAGTGCTAATATGTTTTCGAATAAAAGTGTTGTTTCGGGAAAACACTTGTAGTTGCTAGCCGAACAATTACACAGCTGTTTTTTAAAACAAGAACCATATACTATGTTTAATGTATATCCATTTTATTATAAAAATGATTAAGCAACATACAAATAGTTGTATAATACCAATAAAATATTCAATTTTCTACCTTAGAGATTCAATTGGTCAAGGTAATTATATATTATATCAGAAATTCTATTTCATTAACAAGTATACAAAATTTTAAATCATTTATTAGAAAATATTTTAGAGAAACTCACAGATGGTGTATAAAATTATTGATAACAGTAAAAAAAAATCTGTATAATGTATATATATTTAAAAATATCCAATTCATAGATTAAAAAAGGAAGAAGAAAAAAATCAGAAAAATACATCAATTTTTCCAGCTAATAACCTGTACACATCTATCTGTGTCCCAATAAAAATCGATTTTTATAGTTGTGATGATGACGGTACATCAGCGGTACTATCACGTTCTAGTTAGAATTAAAGTTGGCTATTTATTCCCACGAACTAATCTCTATTACTCTTTTAATGACTCATTGTCCATTTAAGCAATCCACTGTATGATATTATAGCAATGGAATAAGACTGTCAACAGATGATATTACATCTTGCGTAGGAGGTCAGGGAAAACCTTTTAGACTTTTACGTTTTTCTAATTATAATAATACCCGTGTGTATATATATATACATATATAATGACTGATCACAAATCACTAAAAATCAAATCTGTGCGTAAGACAAAGGACTGTACAGTACTGTATTTTAAGTGTCTCCATCTATTGTTTAAACAGTGTAACCGATGACTATTAACACAGTAAGTAGTTTTATCTCTCCGTCAGTCAACTGCGTTGTAAAATACCATGATTTTATTTTTATATGTATTTATAAAGTAGACGTTTATAGAAAATATTTTTAGAAGATTATTTCTAGTCCAGTTTCTGAGCGTATTTCTTGTATGACATTTTAACGTGATCTCAATCGAAAAAGTAAAATGAAAATCATTTTTGAAATACGAGTGGTGTGACGTCACTCATGGGTTTGGATTTTCTCCAATAGATGGCGGCTATTGAAATTCGATCTCGTAATAATAATTATTATTTTAAATATTTAATTAAAATTAAACCAAATTTTTAAATATCTTAAACGATTTTTAAATACTTTCGGCTTTAAAGATTTTTTTCATTTTTAACTATTATTATTATTACTTAAAAATGAAATTCTATCCCACGTGCTCTGTATGGCCAAAGTTCAGATTTTTATCGTTAGTAACGGGAGAATTTAATCTAAATTCTAGTTTTAATTCTAAATTAGGTTTTCTTGATTCGATTATTTCTTTCCCTCCCCGTTTTTCTGACTTTAAAACTGGAATAAAAGCAGAAAAAGGCACCAGTTTTTGCGTTTTTATCCCTTCCTTTCTTGAGTTTAGGAAGCAAAAATGGAAGAATTAGTTATCTAGAATTGAAAAAATATCAGGCAGGAAAACCTTTTTAAAACATCAACACACCTACCTTAACATTTTGGCATTGGTATGGCCGTTAAGTAGGGACGGGGCATTATTAAACTTAACGATGGTCTCTTAAGAGAAACATTCTAGGAAAATTGCTCTCTTTTCAAGGTTTCTTCGTCAAAATAATAATAGGTTTTTTCAAGTTAGGAACGTCATCTCGGAAGCAGTAACACTTTCGAACGTTTCCATGGTTACTGGACATCGTCAAAGAGGGGGTGGGAGGAGCGCACGACTGTTGCTGATGTTCCAGGTGAGAAGCGATGGAGAACGTAGGAATCGGTTGCGACAAGTACTTATATTTGTCTCGGGAGTTCGAACGTAAGGTTCTTCTCCGATATGATTGGTGTTAAAAGGGTACTAGCCGATCAGCAGTACGATCAAATTCGTGCTTTACACGATCTCTTCGTCAGTCATGGCTACTACATCGGATGCAACGGTGTAAGTATACTGTAATATCTTCGGCATCTCTCTTAAAATTGCAGCGTTTTGCTTTCGATTGCAATCTGTAAAACGAACATTAAATCATCTTAGAATTATCTTTTTAACATAAATTACACTAAGGAAACTAATTTACGGCAAATAAAATGAACGTATACCATATCAAAGGAGTGGATTTCGTTACGTCGTGTTGCACGATTGTTGTTTCAAGGTTGGCGCAATCCGAAACGTCCTCTCTAATAAAAGTCGACGTTATTTTTTCCAAATTGAATTTTTATCTCCAGAGTCCATCGGTTCCTTACGTGCCTTTTTCTATTACGCAAACGATGAAGCTGAAGATAAAAGTTTTATCAGCGGTCTCTCCTGTTTTTTTTTCCAATGTGAAAATAAATGTATATTATAGAAGCGATAACGCAGAATTTACTGTGCAGAGCCACAGAGATATTTCCCTAGTGTAAACTTAAGATATCAAATTGAACTTAGATACCGATTGGGGTACCGAAAAAAAAATTAAATAGTTTGGAAGATTCCAGTATTTAAATCCAACCTACTGCCTCTGAGAGGAGAGACTAAAGAATTTTTTTTACGATGGTAGATATCTTTTTATGCTCCTAATTGTTAAGTCAGGGTTCTTATCTAAAGTGCAGAGTTAATTTTTATCGTGTAAATTAGCTGTTATGTGTGTTTCGATGCTATTACACAGAGCAGTAATCCTATCCACTTCACGCACATTGTACATATGTGTCAGGGGAAAAAAAAACACTTCTCAATCTGTTTAGTTTTTCTGAGTCATTTTTAAGTTTGGAAGTGGTCACACAATTTTTATATTGTTTTTGTTTTCTTTCTTTATTTTCGTGTATTTAGGTCTGCTTAATTTTAAAAACGTGATCGAAGCGACAGATTAAGTGCTGTATAGTAGTAATAATAGAATTCATTGTTTTAATTCACACGTATTACCATTTTAACGTATCATTTACTGCAGTGATTCAGAATCGTTTACGTAAAGCCGGCAATCACGAAAATAGCAATGTGTAAATTATTCCGATTTCGTAGGATTATATCGAGTTTTTTTTCCAAGTATTTCGCAACTTGGAGGAGATGAAGAAGCGTTTCATCTAATTTTTCATCGTGTGTGACGTCCTCGTTTCTATAGATGGATACGTCAACATTTGTAAATCATACGAAAAATCTCTTGTCATTATTCGTGTTGAAAGTATCCTATAAAAGGTATTTAAATGATCGATACATATATACAGGCTAAAGTCGTTTATTTATTTCTAGGATAACAAGCTGGTTGGCAGTATGAAGTCGAGGAGTCGTTACAGAAGTAGATCGCTATCCGCATCTTCAACTGACAGTTATAGCTCTGGTAAGTGTAGAGACGAATGGCTCTGAATTTTTTTAAAAATTTAATAAAGTATATTTATTTTTAGTAATATATAAAAAAAAATGGTATTTTTATGCTGCGATGTTTATAAATGTTTTATTTCTCGTGCCAAACTTTCGTCTCCACGTTGGATTTAAACCCGGTCACGTGGCGGGTGTTCGGTGGTGTTATAATCAATACCGACGTGACAAGTAACTCGAACGAATTTAAATTTCGGTAAATCGATGTAAAATATTCTTGATTTTTTTTTTTTTTCTAGTAAAAGAAGTAAATAGTTCCTAAAATATAATTTTAATGAGGCGTGTTAATCGTGTTTCCTCATAAAAATTTGAATTAAAATGCTGTGTATAAAAAAAAACAAATTTTAATAATAACCTAATTATGTGACATCACGTGTCTTAAAGTGTGTTAGATGCTGCCACCTGGAGGCTAAATAGCGAACTAACAGATTGTCGATTTTCTGTAAATTGCCGTGATTCGTACGTTACTCGATAGATGGCGTCAACCGGCTCTTGTGTGACTTTTCTCGGATATTTATGTTTACAGAAGCGAATCAGCTGTAGTATTCGGGCGCCTTTGCGTTTGTTTTTTTATTTTAAAAAATCCACTCGAACTGTCTTGCATCATGAAAATTGTATCCGCTATATTTTTGTTTTTGAATATATGCAATTATAAAATGGAGAAGTGTTAAGAGTCTAAGCAGTAACTGTTTTAATTTGCTGGTATTTCTTAGTCCCTTTTATATAAGTTTATACGTTATCGTATCGTACGATATTTGATACCTTGTACAGTATAAAATATCGTACATACACTAAGTACAGTACATACAGATCGTACACTGGATTCCAAGAGCCAATATCGATCTGTACTTTGAGGCCTGTAAAAGAGGGAGGCCCTAGACAAAAAATCTAGGTTGCCCGCACCTAAAACCACCACTGGACTGAGTATGAAAGATCGCTACACCTCGTTAAGATTCAACAGTGATTTTGTTATGCCACACTATCGAATTATTTAGCAATATCGATGGCTTCTTGGGTTGTTTTTCCCTTATCAGCGGAAATTCTGAAAAATAAAAGTAAAATACGAAAGGAAATCAGTAAATTAATTTAGAAAATTCTACGGATTTTTATTAGTTTTTAATAGATGAATTTTCACGAATTTAACAATAGGGGAGGAGTAGTTGATTCGTCTGTGAATGGGGGTAGTTCATAGAAGTAGGAGTCAGGATCGATCTGTTTCCGATATGCCAAAGACACTCGCAGTTTATTATTGTTTTAGGTATCGAACGGTGTTGAAATGATAACGTAACATTCAGAACAAATATTTAAATGTGCAAATTTTGATGTATTATTCATTAGATGTTGCAGGTGTAAAATTCTTATTGTTAATATAAGTTATATATATTTAAACGTTGTGTGGAATAAAGCGCTATTCGTGAAGGATTAAGGTTAAGTAACACCTTCTTTGATTAGCCAGACGTAACGTAACGTAAAAGAACTTATCTGAACACTGCCTAAGTCTTATGCGTTCGATTCAAACCGAAACATCCTCGTATCAAACCTCATATCCGCACTTTCTGAATTGAAAGATGATCTATTCTCGCTCGGCTACGAATTTCAAGCTGATCTATTACCATTGTCAATCGTTATCGCTGCTGCTGACATTAAAAAATTCGTTTATCGGATGGGTACGAAAGATGATATAGGCCTACTACATCCATAATTTTACCAACCCATCAGTTTTCGCGCTGGCACCTAATCTATAAAGGATGAAAGGTAATAAAAAATATTCATACATATGGATAAAAAAAACATATGTACTGTACATCAACTATTACGTCTCTAAATTAAAGGTTCCTGTTCAGAAGAAGAAAAAAATCTTAGGAATATCAAATCATATGCAATTGTTTCGGCCTTTAACAATGATTGTTTTAAGGTCAAGTAGTGAGAGCAGTAAATGGATAGATGTTTCAGTCGTGTTTATTGATCGAACGGCTAATCAAATACAACTCTCTTGATTAATCAAACCTTAAATGAGTTTGATGTAAACATAACGGTATGTTTTCATTTCCAACAACTGTTTTCTTTTGTTATTTTGCACATAAATTAAATACATGCCGAGTTAATGTAGTATTATAATCGAACCTCGAATAAGACCGCCTGTAAACGGCAGCCATTTTTTCCAGGAACGTTTCTTTTTGAAATTCATACAAAACTTCTCTTTGTATTCCAACTATTCAGAAGTTTGACTTGTATACATTCAATCGTGTAAGGGGCAATGAATAATACTGATTTTGAGTATTTGAAAGTTCCTCCGTGTATTGGACAATAAGTACTGATGTACGAGTGTTTCGACTCGTTACGTATCGATTTACGATCAGGAGAGATCCATCTTAAACAATAACGACGATCTCTCATCAGACAGTAAAATATTCATCAAATAACATAACCATATTTGCGGTAGTGTTCCTGTTCTTGTTTCACGTCTTGTTCCATTTGCTCTACTGCCTCTTGTAGATTTACAAGCATTTCTGTCCGTGTCACTGCCACTGGTCGTAAATCCAGAAGTATCTGATGCAATCTTGTCACGGGGAAACATTTTTATTAGTGTGTGTTACTAAATCGTAAGGTGAAAATATTTTTTTCAAAGGAATCAGAGTTTGTTCCATCGATCCTCATTTCTTGCTAATAGGTGTGTCGAGATTTTGGTGAAAGATAGTTATATAGAGACAGGTTTTAATAGAACTGAAGTAATTTTTACATTAAGGCTGGTTGTAACCTCTTCGGTTATGCACGCGGCAGATAGCGTTAAAAATTTAATGCTTTTTCTATGGAAAATACTTTTTCCAAAATTTCTCGAAAACGGAAGTAGATAGAGCCAAACAGCTTTTTGCATTAGAATTCCAATTAATTCTTCTATTAACCTACGGTTTAGAATTTCGAAAACCAAATTCGTTAATTTTCTACAAATATTCTACGACTTCAAAAATTCGTATAAAATTAACGAATTTGATTTTGAAAATTCTGAACCGTACGTTAATAGAAATATTAAACAGGATTCTAAATAAAAAAACCGTTTGGTTCTATCTACTTCCGTTTCCGAGAATTTTTGGAAAAGGACTTTCCCCGTAGAAAAAGCATTGAATTTTCAACTCCATCTGCTGGAGATCGCTTGCGTAGCAGGAGAGATTATAATCAGCTTTGAAGACTTGTAGTAAATCATGAATATTCATAGTCATTGCCGAAAATTTCGAAGATCTAAACGATTGTAACGGTCGAGATTATCGATTGGAATTCAAGCCAAAGAGGAACAAACAATATTTGTGCACCATTAAACTGCGTGAAATGTACCGAACTTGTCGCAAACTATTACAAATGTCACACTAATGCAACATATCTGCTAACAAAATTAAACCAGTTCAAATTTCCAAACTGATTAAATCTCCGAAGTACGAATTACAAAATGGGTTAGACAGACTAACTGGACCTTAAAAAGGGTGACATTTTAAACTCGTCAGACGGGAAATTTAAGCTCTGAATATCTCTCCCATTATCGCTATCTAACGAAGTTGGCGTTACGAAGATCTCATCGAATTTTTTACGTAGTTTAAAAGCATTTTGATGTAAAATTTACATATCTTATTGCAGACAAACTCTTATGCACTTAAACATGAATGAGCAATTACAGCCTTGTTTCTATGTGCCGTGTGTTGCTCATCTGCGTAATGTTTTGATATATAAATGCGTTAAAAATTAATGTCTTATCGATAAAAATAGATTGGAAACGATTTTATTTGTAGCTGCATTCAATGTTCTTAATGGAAAAAAAAAAACAGTAAAAATGGAATGTGTGTATATGCAATTTCATAAAGGGCCTATAAATTATAAGAAGAAAGTTTTGAATATTGTATGATCGAAAAAATAGAACTGCACCTGCTACAACTACATCAGCATTCTATTTATTCTATTCTTCTGAATATTGCATCTATTATAATAATTTTTTTTTAATGAATTGTTCGACATTTTGCTTTTGTTTTAAAGGAAAATGGCGATTAGATTTAATTTCATTCTAGTATAAACTCACCAGAAATTAATTCTCACAACTTAAAATATGATAATTTCTAAAGACTTTTAATTTTCTCGACGTTTAATCAACGCTGAAGTAATATATTTATCGAACTGGTTGATTGTATTTACATTACAATTGTTAGCATGTCGGCGTGTCAGTCCTAATTTTATACTTGACGGTTAACTCCAATAACTCGTTAGTTTACATTCTCCGTTGAAGTTTTCATTTGATATGAGAAAGTCGCGCTTGTTTTATTTAGTTTAATTTCTTTATTCTGTCAGAGTTTACCTACTTTGAAGATTAATATATTTAATACAGTAATATATTCGTATCAATTTCAATTCAGAAAGTTAACATCTAGACATTTGGGCCATTTTTATTGCATTACGGATACTCGCCAGTGGGTATTTATGTCGTTTTTACTTTCCTGCTGTTATAAAATATAACGTAGGAAAGGTATGATAATCAGTCAAAATGTTGACCCCCCCCTCCGGTATTTTTGAATTTCTTGATGTTTTGATGAGGAACCCCCCTAAAAAAACTCTTACAAAATTATTTGTTTGATTGCCTATTTTGCATAACAACTCGAGACTTGATAAACCAAAAATTTCGAAACTTGGCAGGTTTATTTCAATATTCCGTCCATTGATGCTGTTAAATTGTAAAGGAAGTAGGGGAGTTGGAGGGGGTCATGTGCCATATCTCGAGTGAGGCAGTTTTGATGAAACGTTTACTCGTTATCAGCATTTACAATTTCTTAAAAAACGCATTCATACTCTCCAAAAGAAACCTTTTGTCTTTTTATAATAATTAATAATTAGTAAATTCCAGACAACCTCATTGGTTTCTTTCGTTTCTAATGAATTCAATTCCAATTAACAAGATTAGTTTCCTTAATCGATTTTTTTTTCTTT